CTCAGGCAATCCACTCACCTCAGCCTCCCAAAGGCGCGGGATTACAGGCTGAGCCACTGAACCCAGCTCCTTGTCATTATTTTAAAAACAACCAGCATAAACCAAAAATGAAAAGCCTAAGTATTAGAGATAATTAACCTTAATTCATTTCTTGGGGCGAGAGCATGCAGAAATGGAATTTAAGTTTGTTACCTTGTTTACGTTTTATAGGTAACTGATTTTTTAAAACCCTGTAACCAGTGTTCTGATTTCCCAGTTACCTTTCACTGTGTAGATCTCTGAGTGACTCAGTATGTCATCACTTGGAAAAGGTAGCAAATATGCAGAGGCCCTGAAAGGTGCTGTCTGCATCCTATGGACATCAGAGTGTCACATGTGGTATATCTGTGACAGTCCCTCTCATCTTCCAAAAAGGAAGGGAAAGGTGGCTTTGCAGGCAGGTTTTGGTGGATCCCTGTGCCTTCCTGGCATCGAAACCAACTGCATGATAATCCTAATAGGAAGGAATGCCCCCCCGCCTTGTCCCCGCCACACCTGATCTGCTGTCCTCTGCTGTCTCTGGGATTTCAAGTGTGCTCTGAGCTCAGGAGGTCACCTAGCACCCGGAGGTAGACTCCCACAGATACTTCCCTTGGCTGGACGACCCTCTGTCCTGCCTGCTGGCCTGGTCCCATTTAGCATCCCGGCTCCATGCAGCTGGCTCATGGAGGTGACCAAGGCGGGGCAGATGTTGGTACCTCTACGTTTGTCACCGTGGCAAGGCACCGCTCTCCCATGCTGGGGTCTCCCCTTCCTTGCTCTTTTTGCTTTCTTTCTTTCTTTCTTTCTTTCTTTCTTTCTTTCTTTCTTTCTTTCTTTCTTTCTTTCTTTCTTCCTTCCTTCCTTCCTTCCTTCCTTCCTTCCTTCCTTTCTTCCTTCCTTCCTTCTTTCCTTCCTTCCTTCCTTCCTTCCTTCCTTCTTTCCTTCCTTCCTTCCTTCCTCCCTCCCTCCCTCCCTCCCTCCCTCCCACAGGCTCTCTGTCACCCAGGCTGGAATGCAGTGGTGCTATCATAGCTCACTGCAGGCTTGAACTCCGGGGCTCAAGTGGTCCTCCTGCCTCAGCCTCCCGAGTAACTGGGATTACAGGCACACACCATGGCTAATTTTTTAATGTTTTGTAGAGACAGGATGTCTCCTGTTGCCAGGGCTGGTCTCAAACTCCTGACCTCAAGCGATTCTCCCACCTTGGCCTCTCAAAGTGCTGGGATTACAGACAGGAACCATCGCACCCTTTTTTCGGTTGTCATTAACATTCTCTCCAAACCTTAGCTCCTTCCTGTTTTTGAACTCTCTGCCTTGCTGGAGGGCAAGGTGGGGAGTAAGTTGGAAGGTATTCCTAGTCCTCCCCACTTCCTCCCAACAGTGTTCATTGGGGGCCTTCTATGTGCCAGGTTGTGTGCCAGGTACATGGGGTACAGCAGAGAGAACAGAGAAAAACCTGTCCCTGGTTTCCTGGTGCACGTGTGCTAGCAAGGATAGACAGAACACAGCAGAGCAGAGGATGTATTAGGTGGATGGCCTGTGAGTGCTGGGAGGGGTACAGAGCAGAGTGGGGCCGGGCTCTAGGAGGTGTTGAGTATTCCCTGGGTAGTCAGAGCAGGTTTCTGTGGAGGTGAGGGTCAGGCTTCCAGGTGGAGCCAAGAGCCTGCGGGAAGGACCTGAGATGGAAGATTATGGTGCAGCCAAGCCTCAGCAGGGAGGGCATGGTAGGGGAGGGGGGCACGGGACTAGATGGGTCACACTGTGCAGGGCTCAGAGGGACTTTGGCCCTGACTGAGAGAGGCCGGGCAGGGCTCTGAGCGGATCAAGGCCATGGCCTGATGTGCTGGGTAGGAATAGATGGTAGGAGATGAGGAGAAGGAGAGAGAAGATGATACCTAGGCCAGGGCTGGAGAGGATGTGGGAAGCAGAGGTTCAGTCATGTCTTCCTGTTAAAGGTGGCCTCAGCAGAATTGTACTCGGGAGACGTGACATGTGCATATAGCAGAGAAGGACTAGTGGGAGGGGCAGGGTGGGGCCGGGCCAGGCCCAGGGAGGTTGATTCAGGTGGAGCTAAGGGCCCCAAGGGTAATGGTGGGAGGCAGAGTGTACTTGTGCTGAGCCATGGGTGTGCCTACCACTCCTGCCCTTGGGTGGACTCTAGGGACTGCAGGACTGCGTGAGTCAAGGGTGAGGAGTTCCAGCTACCTCAGGATGCTTGGTGGGGCTAGGAGCTGGGGTGCCTGCAGCCCTGCATGCTTAGGTGAGAGGCCTGCTGGAGGCCCTGCTCTAGCTGCATCTGTGTTTTCCTGTTGACTTTGGTTTTGGCCTTCTCGGTTCTCCTGGTGTGGTGTTTTCTTAGCCCTGGGTTTTGGCAGCTGAGGCTGCGAGCAGAGTATGCCCTCTTCTTTTTATCTACAGATCCCTGTCATTGTGTCATTTTGCAGCTTCAAAGAACCTCCGCTCTTGCTTGGTGTTCTGCATCCAAATACGAAGTTGCGACAGGCAGAAAGGCTGTTTGAGAATCAGCTTATTGGACCAGAGTCCATAGCACATATTGGGGGTAAGTAAACCCTGGGACTATGCAGTCTGCTCCGGGGGTCTTCCAGGCTGTCTGGGACTTGAGGGCGTATTCTATGGGAGCAGCTGCGCTGGGTCGGGGAACCCTGGCGTCCCTCTTAACTGAGGCCGTGGACATGGGCTTGTTCCCTAGACATCCCTAGGGAGTGGCCTTGCAGGAATGGCTTCATCTGTGATCTCGTCTGTTTGGGTTACATGCCATTTTAGTCCTGGTGATTTTGAGTTCATCTCCACAAAGCACTTTATTGTGCCCAAAGTGTCATGAAGGGGTAAAGGTAAAATGCAGATGTTTATGTGTGATTCATTCATTAAAGGTAGGGAGGTATTAGTTGACAGCACATCGTTTCCTAGCTCTGTTTGTCTCAGTGTGTATTTTGTTTTAAAATGAAGACAAATGGTTCTCAGCATTTCCAGTGTTATTTGTTGTGTTTTAAAGCACACTTTGATGGGTACACTTAGGGTTACCATCTGTGTCACACTTGCCCCAGCCTGAAAACTAGAATTGGGTCTGTTTGTAATATTTTCATCTCCAACTGGAGCCTGGAGCAAGGCATTTTCCCTCTGTTAAAATGAGAATTAATTAATTGAGAATTAATTAATTGAGAAGACATTTAATGAAAAGCTACAAACTTAAACTGATGAGAGAGTTTCTGAGAGCTTGTTTGGAAATACTGCTTATCATTCTGAAATACAAATGCTCTTCTGACAGTGACTGTGTACACGCTCACTATTCATGTGTACATGCTCCTGCTTAGTCTCCAGGGCCAATCGGCTGCTCTCTCAGTGGTTCTATAGCTTCTTTTGCCTAGCCCTGCCATTTGACATGGGCCCCAGGACTGGCCCATTTCCACGGTGGGGGGGTTTGTTTTTTTGGCTGGCACAGTCAAGGTTGTTTCAAGAAGAATAAGTACTTCTTGTCTGTTTGGGTTGTGTGTCATTTTTGTTACAGGGCTTGAACAAGGATGATACACACATTCATACAACAGTCAATAAGTTTGTTTTTGTTTTTTGTTTTTTGTTTTTGAGTCAGAGGCTTATTCTGTCACCCAGGCTAGAGTGCAGTGGCATGCTCATGGCTACCACAACCTTGATCTACTGGGCTCAGACGATTCTTCTGCCTCATCGCCCTCAGTAGCTGGAACTACAGGCGTGTACCACCACGCCTGGCTAAGTTTTTTATTTATTGTAGAGATGAGGTCTCGCCAAGTTGCCTGGGCTGGTCTTAAAAACCTGGGCTCAGGCAGTCTTCTCTCCTCCTCCTCCCAAAGTGCTGGGATTACAGCCGTGAGCCACCACACCTGGCTATAGTTTTTAAATGTATATTGCAAACTCAAGGGTAACCATGACAAGAAGTAAAAAAAGAAGTATAACTGCCATGCCAAGGAGAGGAGATGGAATCATATAAAATACTTAATTTGAAGCTACAAAAGACAGAAAGAGAGTGGAAGACAAAACAGAAACAAAGAACAAGGGAAAGAATAGTTATTACTCCAGTTTATCAATAATCACTTTAAATATAAATGGTCTAAACACACCAATTAGAAGACATTACCATAGTGGCTCAAAAAACAAGGCCTAACTGTATGTTGTGTACAGGAAACAGATTGAAAGGAAGGTTGGAGAAAGTATACCCCAACACTAAGGGAGAGAACCGAGTAACTGTGTCGATTTCAGACAGAGACTTCAGGACATGGAAAGTCACCAGGAACAAAGAGGAACATCACACAGTGGTGAGGGGCCAGTCTTCTATGAGTCTAGCATGACCCCCATTGGAACAAGTGCCTCATAGTTGAGCATCCAGGCATGAGGGGCAGCTGCGGTGTCTGCTGCACCCTTGCTTATGCAGCTTTAGACCCATGGGCTGATCCCTAGTTTTGTTGCTGTAAGTTTTAAGGATTTTACAAATTCCCAGGTGTCATGTCTCCTTCTTCTTTAGGATGGCCATTTTGTATCTGGAGAGGACAAATGTGAACAAGCCCCTTGGACGGAGAAGGTGGCGTGGCCACAGTTCTCAGGCTGGTCTCCTTCCGCTCTTGCTTCCTTTTTGTGTTTTTAAACAGATACGATGTTTACCGGGACAGCAGATGGCCGGGTCGTAAAACTCGAAAATGGTGAAGTGGAGACCATCGCCCGGTTTGGTTCGGGCCTGTGCAGTAAGTTGGTGACAGTCTCCTGTGACATGTGGCTCTTCCAGTCATTCAGGAAGGTGCCAACTTGCCATGTGCAACTGCTTTTCCCTAGAAGGGCCTGAGAATAAAAGAGCCTTGGCCACTTGGCAGGTAGAATGTGATATGGGCTCTCCATGAGCTCTGCATTTGCCACATGGGCTCCACAGTCCCCATTTCCCAGCTGGGCAGTGGCTGTGGCACCTGCTTGGGACTTCCCAGGTCCCATCCCTTGCATTCCACTCCTTTAACTTTTGCAGTGCTTGGGAGGCAATGGGTGTGTCAGCGTGTCTGTGTAGCTGCAGGAAGCAGGGCTCTATCATGACGTGGGCGGGTGTGGGATCCTGCAGTGGCCTTGGGTTTCTGCCGTGCCATTCACAGTGACAGTACCCAGAGAACCCGAGTAGAAGACTCTCACTGTTGAGAAGCTGGTGGTCTGCAGACACACGTCAGCCATCATTTTTTAACCCTTGGCACTTGGATGTCCCCTCTGAGGGGACATCATAAATCTAGCAAACCCTGAGAGGGGACATAAAGAGATTGCTGGTGATTATATAGGACAAACTTATGCAGCCATACATTTTTCAGAAATGTATGTTTTCCATTTAAATTGCCTAAAAAATTAAAAAGATGGACTGTGTACTGAGATATGATCGATCAGCTGGCAAGTGGTTTTCAGGAATCACAAGTACGTCCTTCCACATTGTCTTCAAACAGCAGACTGGACAATAAATTACATATATTAATAAGGAAGGAAGAAAACAAGACTGCATTGTCTGCTTAAATAGAAAAACAACAGGTAGAAGATGTCAAACAAATTACTATTGCACAATACGTATTAATGAACCTACAATGCATGTTGGTGACTTTTTCACGTTACCACATGTTATAAGATATAAAATTTTGATTTTTTGTCATAAATAAGTTTCTTAATATCCAAAATTCCATTGTAAACCAAATTTTTCACTATTTCATAAAAAGATACAGTTGAGTTGCTGGTAGATGATTTGTGAGCTGTCTCCCAGTGCAAAGGGCCACTAACTGGAATGTTTTCTTTTTTAAAAGCGATGCATTTTCACAGTTAAATACAAACAACACAAAGGTCCCAAGGGGAAAAAGTACACATCACCCCAGAGTCTCTTCAGATGTGACTGTTACTTTTTTTTTTGAATCGAGGTCTCACTCTGTCGCCCAGGCTAGAGTGTAGTGACACACTCAGGGCCACCGCAACCTTGACCTGCTGGGCTCAGGTGACCCTTCCGCCTCAGCCTTCCAAGTAGCTGGAACTACAGGCACGTACCACCATGCCCTGCTAATTTTTTGATTTATTACAGAGACAGGGTCTTGCCATGTTGCCCAGGCTGGTCTCGAACCCTGGGCTCAGGCAATCCTCTCGCTTTGTCCAAAGTGCTGGGATTACAAGTGTGAGCCACTGTGTCTGGCTGACTATTACTAACATTTTAGTGGATAACTTCTCAGACATCTTTCTGCTCATGGTCACTGCACTGCACAGTTTTATATCACGGAACTATGCTCTACTTTCATTTTCTTAACCTGCCTCTTTCCACTCCATTTTGGCACTCTGCTTGAGCATTCCACAGTTAGCATCCCACAGTGAGTACCCTGTAGTGAGCATTCCATGTTGAGCACTCCACAGTGAGCAACCCACAAGGAGCACTCATTGTGAGCTCTTATAGGGGTGATTCTAGCTCTCATACACTGGTCTTTTTGTCCTGCACTGCATGGTATATATTTAGGAAGGATGGATGAGATACCTGGATGCTGAGAAGGGCACAGGTAGGAACTGGGAACAGCTGCCAATTTCTGTCTGTTTGTTTTGTAGAAACCCGAGACCACGAGCCTGCCTGTGGGAGGCCCCTCGGCATCCGGGCTGGGCCTAATGGGACTCTCTTTGTGGCAGATGCATACAAGGGACTGTTTGAAGTAAATCCCTGGACACGTATGTGGCCGTCTCGTTTTCTTCTGAGGTGGTTTCAGATCTTGTGAACATGTACGTGAGTGGATGTCAGGGTTTGCTACATGTAGTCTGCTGAAGACTGTTCCTGTTCATGAAGCAGTGTCAAGAGGATCGTCTACAGACCTCACCAGTGTGGGCACGGGATCCCCACCCAAGACTGCATTTGTCTTTCAGCCACAGGGTCTCGAAAGGACTCTGCCTTCTGTCATGTTCTTCCGTGTCTCTCCATCTTGTCTCTGCCTCTGTCTCTCCTTGCTGCTGCCATTTGTGTCTGCTTTCTCTATCTTGTCTCTGTCTCTCCTTCTGCTGCCCTTTATCTCGGCCTTCTCCATCATGTCTCTCTCTCTTTCTGCTGCCCTTTGTCTTGGCCTTCTCCATCTTGTCTCTGTCTCTCCTGCTGCCCTTTGTCTCAGCCATTTCATTTTCTCCAGGGCTTCCTTTCTTTTCCTGACGCCTGCATCCCCTTTCCCAAGTTTTAGTATTTGCTGTGTGTGCTTTCTCAGTGGAGGTTCCTGCCGTAGAGGGACCTGTCCTGGGCAGTGTGTGGGGCCTGATGGGGCCTGCAGCGTGGTCACCTGTGGTGACTACAGGGCACGTGGCCATGCTGTACCTCGTTTCCACCCCTTAAGTGAAGATCATAGTAGTTTCTTCCCTGGGACTGTCTAAGCTTTAAGTGGGTCGTGTCTGGAAGGATCTTGACTCTGCATGTGTCCTTCCTGTTACTTTTAGAACTCACTTCTGCTATGTTTTTATTAAAAACAGATGAGTGGAGCATTTCAGGTTTCTCCCAAGCAAACGAGTAGAACCAAAGCCTTTTCCTGACACTGCTGATAGACTTTCTAAGGTCAACTGGCCTCAGTCAGGAAGAGTTCCTCATTCTTGGGAAGGACTCCACCTTTGATGATGGTGACCTAAAGTGTCATCACATAACAGCTAATGCTATTTTTACTGTAAGGAGATTGAACTGAGGACACAGAGAAACTCATTTTAGTTCTTTCCTTTTAAATCTGGTAGACTGGTTAATATTTTGAAATGATTAAAAAACAAGACCTTCACTCAAGCAGGCCTTTTTTCCCTTACCTTTAGGTGAAGTGAAGCTGCTGCTGTCCTCTGAGACCCCTGTGGAGGGAAAGATGATGTCCTTTGTGAATGATCTTACAGTCACTCAGGACGGGAGGAAGATTTACTTCACGGACTCCAGCAGCAAGTGGCAGCGACGAGACTATCTGCTCCTGGTCATGGAGGGCACTGATGATGGGCGGTGAGTCCTCCCCTGGCTCCCAAGCTGGCTGCCCGTCAGTGCCCGTGACTCATAGGAATGTGAGGTGTTTCCAACTGCCTAGGTCAGGCCTGCAGCAGCCTCTGCAGGCAGGTGATGGATGGGACAAGCCGAGTGAGGCGCCCCCACTTTCTCTTTGAGGAAATAGAGCAGACCAGTCCATCTGAGGGTACAGTTCTGAGCAGTTGGGAGACCCCAGCGGCAGGCCTAGGTTTGGGCTGCCCCTTGAGGGGCTCTTGCGGGGCTGGAGTGTCAGTCCTTCCTGGTGCTGGCCCAGGTTGGCAAGAGCACTTACCATCTTCTGGAAGAGGCCACTGTGGATCTGCTCTGTATGGGGTAGGGCCCCCGGCACCAGCCTGGAATCGGGTTTGAACAGGATGCCTGGGCCTGTCACTCCAGGGGTGGCCAGGTTACCTCTACAGGCCCCTGCTCTGAAGGCCCTGGGGGGAGCTGTGTTCTCTGCTGTGACCCTCGGCCTTTGGCACCCCACAGCCTGCTGGAGTATGACACCGTGACCAAGGAAGTGAAGGTCTTAATGGACCAGCTGCAGTTCCCTAATGGAGTCCAGCTGTCTCCCGCGGAAGACTTTGTTCTGGTGGCAGAAACAACCATGGCTAGAATTCGGAGGTATGTGTGGCCTTAGCTGAGCTGTTGTGGCCTGGGTTGAGTGGGGATGCGAGTCAAAGAAGTCAGATGGGGCAGGGATCTTCTGCTCTACATGGTGATACATGTAAACTCAGGGATGAGCGCTCTCTCCCGTTTCTCAGCCTGCTTGAGTCACGGTCCATGAGAGTGTCTTGAGTTAATTAATGACAATTGTGGCCGCCCCAAGTCCTGTTTCCCTTGGGCCCTGTCCCTGCCCTGCTCACCTCCCTCTGCTCAGCTGTCCCAGGGTGTGAGGGTCTCTCCTCAGTACTTGTGCCTATACTTATGATGGACACGTCGACAGTGGCTTCCATATATTTTGTGACCGGGACTGACTTGGTGCTGGCCTGAGATGTTTTCTTTCATTGGGCTGTTGTTCTCTGCCTGCCTGGTGAATGTTTCAGAGTCTATGTTTCCGGCCTGATGAAGGGAGGGGCCGACCTGTTCGTAGAGAACATGCCCGGATTTCCAGACAACATCCGCCCCAGCAGCTCCGGTGGGTATTGGGTGGGCATGTCGACCATCCGCCCCAACCCCGGCTTCTCCATGCTCGACTTCTTATCCGAGAGACCCTTTATTAAGAGGATGATTTTTAAGGTAACTATAAAAACTGTAATTTCAAAACACAATGAAAATGAACCTGATCATGAACATTTTTTGATCCTTATAGCCCTAAAAATTCTAGTTCTGCTTAGGATACTCGGAACTTTTAGTGGCTATTTGAGAACATGTTCCATTCTTCATTCTGAAACATGGGTTTAACATTTGAATGCTTTATGTTTTTTCTTTGGGTTTTGCCATTTCTGGGGATTTTCGTTGTTACCCCTCTGCCGCCATCATGATGTCTGGAGCCTCTGCCTGCTTGTCAGACTCCTCCTCCCTTCGCCAGGGCCCTTTCAGGCCTTCTCTGCTCTCTTCCTCCTCAGAGAAAATAGCAGGTGCCTCTTCCTCCCTTCCTGTGGCCCAGCGCGTAAGCCCCACATACTGTGACATAGGCCAGCCAATAAGAACATGCATGCAGCCCTGGGTGGGGTCCAAGCATACGGTCCAGCACTGCAGACTCACTACCTGTGGCCTGTCACCTCCAGGACTGTAGATGAATACTGTCCTAACTGTCCAGATATTCAAGGTCAATTTCAGGCATCTATCTGGCAGGTGACATGCAGTTTGCTGGAAGAGACTTGTACAGTACACAAGTACCTGTGCCAGCAAACTGCTGCTCCATGGTGTGAACATGCTGAGTTACAACTCGGCATTTTGTGGAGTCACTGGGAGGCGCAGGGTGAAGAACACACAAGGGCCGTGCTGAAGGGCTTGGCTGCTGCTAGCAGAGCCAGTGACTCTCATTTTATGATGGTGCCTCAGCTGAGGGCAGTGTGTTCAGTTTCTGTAACGGTCGGTTTTTCTATAGCAAGGGTGTGGCTGTCACCTGCCCTCTGGTGGTGGTTTGCATTCTTCCCCTGATGAGATGTGTGTATTGTCAGAGCAGATGTGTGTGTCGTCAAAGCAGATGTGTGTGTCATCAGAGCAGAGCTAAACAGGAAAGTTTGTTACTTAGATATTACCACCTACAGCGCCTCCAACAATGTGTGGCACGTGTGGGCACATGACACATTGTTGAGTGAGTGAGCGAGGAGAGGGCAGAGGCTATGGTCATGAGAAGGACCAGCTGCCCCGAGTGGTGGGGCATGGGCACCGGTGGGGTCCCTGGGGCAGGAGAGTGGTGGAGAGGTAGGTCCACAGGCCCTGTGGTCTTGGAAAGAGGGTTGATGTATCCAGAATGTGAGCTGAGTCATTGATGATAGGTACAGGGAGGGTTTAGCGAACTCTTTTCCCTGAGCTGTTGCTGCTAAGCTGCCAACCTGACCCTGTCACTGTGGACACATCTATGTTTCCTACAACAGGACCAGGGAATTCACACGGCTCCCCTGTGACTGACCAGTTCATGGGACCCATGCAGGTTTTGCCCTCTATAATAGAAGGGTTAAACCCGGGATCAGGTGAGCATTTGGTATCACCTCTCCCTGTTCTCCTGCGATCTGCAGAATACTCTGCTCCTCAGTCTCTCGTTGACTTTTTTATACTGATTTTTTTTGATTGCTCATGGGTGTTTCCTCATGGTTAGATTCAGGAACAGGCAACAGGGAAGCTGTGTTCTCCTTGACACAGCTGGGTGGGGGACATGATGTCAGTATGCCTCGTGAGACTGCTGGGGAGCATGGCTGTTGGGGGATGGGGTGTGATGTCGGCATGCCCTGTGACTGCTGAGGAATGTGCTGTCAGGGGGACAGGGCCATGATGTTGGCATGCCCTGTGACTGCTGGGGAGCGCCAGGCTTTTCCACCGAGATGTGTTGCGCTTTCCCCACTGGTTAACATTGAGCATCTTGCAGGGTGCTTTAGGACTGGTAATGTCAGTGCTGTCTCGTTTTCTTTGTCACCAGGGACTATTTACCATGTATTTATTTTGGTGCTTAGAGGCTGCTCAGAGGCTCCTGGACCTCTGGACACGCTCTGTCCCCCTGTACTGGCTCCTTGCTTTCTGGAACACAATTTTCCCAGGCTCCTCTTGTGCCTCCCTGGCTCCAGCTCTGGAAATGGCTGGTTCTCCTTCTGGAGGAGACCTGGGTGCAAAGTGTACTCACTGCGTTTGGGTGTTGCTGCTCCTAGGATGCTGAGGGACAATGCAGGGAAATGCATGCATGTGACACATACTGACACTCAGCTTCATGTGTGCAGCACATGCTCACACTCACCTGCATGTATGTGACGTGCGCCTGTGTTCACCCACACATGTAATCATCCCATGCATGTGCTTATGCCTGCATCTGTCACCCATCTGTTTAGACTGAAAACCTTTAAGACGGAGCTGGTGTCTCCAGGCCTAGCCCCACCATGGGATTCACTCAGTCTTCTCCCCTTAGTTCTCTCACATCTGACTCTCTAACAGTGAAACCTGGATCCCATTGTCTTTTATAAATTAATTTACCTGTGTAACTATTTCCCCAAATGTAACCAGTCTGTGGCTATTGTCCCTTTCCGTGTGGCCCCACTAGGGCTCTTGTCCCCATGCTGGGCCACCTTGTCTTTCTTGGCCCCATGTAGAAGCCTAGTTTTCCCTGCAGGGGCTCTGGTACTCTCAGCTGGCTGTCTCTGGATGAGCACTTTCATTACTTGTGTGGGCTCTGGCAGCCTGTTCCAGGCCTCCAGTGGGAACACCTCCTCCCATGTGGGCTCTGACAACCTGGCTGGGACTACTGCAGCCCCCTGTCCTCTGCACACACCTACCCTGCTCAGCCCCGTAGGTGACTTTGTGACCAAATCGTTGAGGAGGAAATTTAGTGTTTCTGAGAGACCCCTGCAGCTTGTAGGAAGCTCAGCTGGTTGTGGGGCGTCTAGTGTGGAGGCCGTCCCAGGGGCTCAGGAGAGGTGGCAGGTAGGGCCTGGGGAGGCCCAGGTGCCAGGGCTCTGCGGAGGCTGGGCTTGTGGAGCACAGAGAGACAGGTGTTAAGGGTGAGGACCGTGCTCTGGGCTTCAGCAGCTGGTGTCAGGGTGCCCCTCCTGAGCTGGGCATCTGTGAGTGTGAGTGCTGTGAGAAGGTCCTAGTGGTGGTAGGACCCAGAAAGTCAGGGGTTAACACGGATGCTGGAAGCAGGTGAAATTTAAAACATCCTGGGAGAGTGGCTTGTTGAAAAATTAGAGAAGATGGGCTTTCTTGGGGACCAAGTGGAGGAGAGGGAAGGCTCTGCAGGAGGTGGCATTTCCTGCAAGTCTTGGGACTTGTCTAAGCTGTAATGCAACTCTGCTCTTGGCTGTTGAACTTCTAGGGTACAATCTCCTTGGATGTCTTTGTGAATGTTTCCAGTAACTGGCAGGCGCTGCTCATTGGGCGCTGAACCTTGTATTGAAAGCTAGAAATTGGCTGGTCGGTTTCCCCTCACTGGGCAGTAGAGCATTTTTCATGACTTCCTACCCAGTGTCCTTCTGCTTGGCTAGAAAGCATGGGTCTTGCCATCTGGTTTTTCTGCCTAAAATTACCCTTCAGACAGAGCTCAAGTCAAGGCTTTAGCCCGGTGGTGCCTGGAGTGGTGGTGGCCCTAGAGGTGCTTGAGGCTTCCTCGGGATCTGCACACTGAACTCCAGTAAGTCATGTCACATGGAGTGTGTGGCATGTGGATTTCTCATTTCACCATCCAGGCAGTTTGTTTTGAACAGGAGCTGCTGGCCAGTCTCCATCATTTACACCCTGCACATTTGGAATGATAGACCCAATCAGAGGACATGTTATAGCAGTGAGGTGTACTGGTGCGACCAGTGTGCTGGCGTCACCGTCACTCTGAGCCTTGGCTTGTGCTGTGGCTTCCTGGGGTGATGTGCATTTTTTTGGGTTCAGCCAGGTTGTTTAGAGATGTGTGTGCCTTACTGTCCTTGTGCGGGGGTAGTCTCCTTGGGCAGGGGTTCCTGTTTGGCCCCAGTCCTGGTAGGGAGCTGGGTTGGTCTTGGCACCATGCTGTGGGACTTCCCTATCAGGGAAGGGGTTGGCCAATCCTGGTGTGAGGGGCCATGTGGTTCATCCATACAGCATTGTCTCAGTCTGCAGGTAACCCCTACTGTGCTTCCTTCCAGCTGTTTAGTCAGGAGACGGTGATGAAGTTTGTGCCACGGTACAGCCTCGTCCTAGAACTCAGTGACAATGGCGCCTTCCGGAGAAGCCTGCACGACCCTGACGGGGTGGTGGCCACCTACATCAGTGAGGTGCATGAGCACGATGGGTACCTATACCTGGGCTCCTTCAGGTCCCCCTTCCTCTGCAGACTCAGCCTCCAGGCTGTGTAGCTAGCCGGGGGCTACCCTGCTGTGCCTGCAGGAGCCATTACACTCGCGTGCCAAGCCAGCCCGGGAGGAGCCGGGAACACATCCTTGGACACAGCCATGGAGCCTGTGTCCACCGGCACCTGCTGGTCCTCAGGGTGTGGCAGGAATGGCTGCTGTACCCCCGAGGATGTGTGTGACCCTGGGGCATCCCTCTCCTGGGCCTTTGTTCAGAGGGAAGTGTAACATACCTACTGTGGGGAAGATACATTCACGTAAAGCCATTTTCTGTTAAAAAAAAAAAAAAAAAAAAAGCTTTCTAAGTACAATCACCCTGGAGGACTTGGGAAGTGTCCTGCACTTTTTCCAGGGCTCAGGGTTTGGTGGGCGGAGCCTTGGGTGAGCTGCCCTGGGATCTTGCTGGGCTGGCTGTGTCCTTCTGGCTACAAAGTGGGTGATGCCTTTCTTGAGGGACGTGAAGGGCAGGGAGCACAGCACATGTGGGTTGAGACCAGGGAGCCATGTTGTCAAGGGTATGTGGACATGGCCCGTGGTCCCTGGGTGGTCCCTCCATGGTGTGTGGGAACAACCCTTTGATTCCAGCACCCAGAGGGGACTTGGCTGCATCCTTTACCTAAGTACCTGCTACATGGAATTGGGTGACCTAGCGGCTCAGGGTCTGCCATGGGTGTGCTTAGGAGTATCCTGGGGTTGCCTTGTTTACCTTTTGGTCCCCAGTGTGAACAGTGCATGTGTAATGTTATATTTTCTCATGTCATAAGCCACACATTGCTGTGTGTTTTCACATGTATGTCTACACACTGGTCGTAATTTTGATAATAAATAATGATAACCCAACTTCTGTTGATGAAGTATTTTAGATGGTGTGGCCTGGGTGTTTCTATGATTACTGTAGCAGTGACTGCAGTGTAATCTGGCTCTGGAAGGGATGCTGTGGGCCCTCTTGCGTCACCGGCCCTGCTGCCCCTCTCAGCACTGACTGGTCAGGTGGTGTCACACTTCTTTCCTGTTTTCCTGCCTACACTTCACGACTAATGTCTGTTCCTTTCCTGGGTGTCTGTGAGAATAAGCAAGCGGTTGTATGCCTGGAAGTTTTGGAATGACTTGAAAGAGGTCATGGTGACACAAACCAGGTGAAGAGGGAACAACACAGGAGTTCAAAGAGAATGACAGCTGTGGTGGGAGTGGCTGTTGGGATCTGGGTATCCGTATCATCCACATTGCCATACTGGCTGGGCGGTGGGATTGGGCATTTGTGTCACTGCACCAGCTGGCCTTTCCCCTCTTTCCTCTGCCCACCGTCCATGCTGGTCAGGCCTTGTGTTGTCGTGTTGGAAGAGGAGGAGGGTCAGGAGTTTGGTGGTCAGTCTTGGTTAATCTGTCTCCTCCCGCCCCCGGGCAGCTTCACATGGGCACCGATAGCAGGACAGAGGCAAAACCTGTTTCCATCTGGCTGATATCACCCGCTGTGTCCTGTGAACACCTGTCAGCATTGCTGATCTACCTCATAGAAAAGGAAACTGAGTCATTATTAAGCACTTTTTAATGTGATGACACGCCTCCCGCATCAGGGATGTGAGATGGACACAGTAACACCTAATAATGCCTGTCATGTGGACATGTCACACGTGCTGGGCTTCTGAGCGGACTTCTGATTTGAGAAGAGTTTGCTTTTGGTGCTGAATTCTCACAGGTGCAGAGAGGCTGGCAATTGTCTTTTCACGGTTTTCGGCAGAGTCTTGATTTTGACTCATAGATTTATTTCCTGTGTTTTCTCTGGTGTTCAGCATGGGAGGTGCGAGATGTCACCTTAGTAGGTTTAGGAGGGGACATGCTTTTACTGTAAATATGCAGGGGGTTTGCTTTCATGTGAATGGCTGACATACTTTTCAAGTTCATCTGGTGCTTCCTGTGCGCCTCTGCCATCGCTACAGGAACTCTCTTAGGACTTGGTCATTGTCCTTCAAGGACAGAGACCCACTGGAATGTCCTCTTATCACTGTGCACTCGTAGAGCGGCCTGTAGTCTGAGATTTTTTTTTTGTGGACGTTGATGCCTCTAATGACTCAGGAAGATGGGGCCTCGTGGTACAGCTGGGACTGAGGCTCTGAGCGGAGTGACTGTTCAGAGCTGCAGGTGGCCAAGCCAGGACCTCCAGTGCCGTGGCACATGCAACTTGGAGGGTGGAGACTGGCTGGCGTTCCGGCTCCTGCCTGGGCATGGGCTCCAACCTTGGCTGCACAGCAGAGTCCTCTGGGGACCCAGGTCTTGGGGTTGCCTGGGCCTTGGTGGTCTGAAGCTTCACAGGTGATCCCGTGGGCAGTGGCAGGAGTAACAGTTTTATGGGGCATTCAATGGCCAAGCCTGGGCCTGTCTGCAGACTGGGCCCATCTATAGACACTGAGTGGCCATCTGTGGCATGAGACCCTGAGCTTATCCCCTGAAGGTGGTGAACTGCTGGGCTGAAGAGGCTCTAGAACATCCAAGGCAGTCCCTGTCAGGGTTATGGTCAGGTTAAGACTTTGAACAAAAGTGCTTCTTTCTGTCGTAATTCTGGTGTCTCTCAGAATCCTGGGCACTTGACCTTATGTCTCCTCAGTGACTGTGGCATCAGATGGTGGCACGACTTCCCCCAGTAGTGAGATGGGACAGGAGGTCCCCATGGCTGACACTACCGCATCTCCTGTGGGTGTGCTTGCATCTAATCTTTGCTTTCTGCCACCACAGTGACTGAGGACAAGTACCTTCTGGGAGTGACTAAAGCGGGGGCTGCATCATAAGGAAAGCCTTCTCAGAGTGCAGGGCCTGAGGCTGCCTACAGAGAGGCTTTGCAGGAGCCCATGCTCCATCACGGGTTTGCCTTAGCAGAAGAGATGGGATACATTTCTGTCCTAAATGCTGTGTTGAACACCAGGGGTGTAGTTTAGTGTTTAGACCTGGGAGAGTTGAGGTTAGGGTTTGAGGCTTCCCACTCCCTCTCAGGGCCAAGTTGCCAGAAGGGTTAGGGGTGGGCTGGCAGGGCCTCCTGTCTGAGGTCCTGGCTGGGGCAGTGGAGGTTAGCTGTGGCTCAGAACATGAGGGTACATACATTCTTATGTCTGATGTGGTGTGGCCATATGAACCCAGGTGGAGGCCAGATGGAGGGCTGATGAGGCCCTGTGAAGCCAGGTGAGGCTGGGTTTTGCTGTGCTCTGGTTTGCATTTAAATGTAAGTGAAGGTGGCCTAGAGGGGAGTGTGGCCTTTCACATGTTGCATGAGTCGTATAGGCTGTGCAGCATCCTGAAGCCTCTGTGAATGCATGGATGGGGTGTTTCTAGAAGGATTGAGCACTGTTGCTACCACTGTCTCTGCATTAAATGGCCAGAAGAAGGCAGTCAAGGCTGCAGAATAAGATAATTTGGAAGTATAGTCACTCATTCTGGAGAAAGTCAAGGTGATTCCTCAGCTGTTTATGTGAGTCACATTTATAGCAGAGTGTAAATTGCTGTGGGTCACTTTTATGGTGAAGTGTAAATTACTGTGAGTCAGTTTACAGTAGAGTGTAAACTGCTGTGGGGAGAATCCCCACAGCAGAGTGTGAATTGCCATGGGTCAGTTTATAGTGGAGTGTGAATTGCTGTGGGGTTGTGGTTAAGGCAGGGTTTAGGCCGTGGGTCAGTTTATAGTAGAATGTGAATTGCCATGGGAAACATTTATGGTGGAGTGTGAATTGCTGTGGGTCACATTTACAGCAGAGTGTGAATTGCCATGGGTCAGTTTACAGTGAGTGTGAGTTGCTGTGGTTCACCTTTATAGCAGAGTGTAAATTGCCATGGGTCAGTTTATAGCAGAATGTGAATTGCTGTAGGTCATATTTAGAGTGGAGTGTGAATAGCCATGGGTCACATTTATGGTGGGGTGTAAATTGCCATGGGTCATATTTGGAGGGGAGTAAAAGTTGCCATGGGTCACGTTTATGGTGGAGTGTAAATTACCTTGGGTCAGTTCACAGTGGGCCATGTTTACAGCTAGTTAAATGGTCTTGGGTCCAGCTAGTTAAATGGTCTTGGGTCACGTTTATATCAGAGTGTAAATTGCCTCCATTTTGTGCAGATTTTTTTTTATTGTCAACTCCATTTCTTCAAGGACAACACTGTGCCCTGCATTGTGAGTGAAGAAGGCCTGTTGGGAAAGAGGTCCACAGTGACTCCCCCTGGTGATACAGGGCCCCTGGGGGCTGTTGTCCCTCTGCATGGAGCCTTAGTGGCTCTCAGGTGTCACCAAGGTTCTGGGTGTCCCTCTGTGAACCAGTTTGGCCTTCTTCCAACCTGGACTCCAGACCTATCTTCCCAGGACTCCGGTGCGCCAACCCATGGTGGCCCCTCCCTCCTCCTGTACCCCTAGCACAGATGTCTTTGGGGTCCCTCTCTGGATGACTCTGTGGGGAGGGGCTGCCACCCTGCCCCCACAGCTACCTGCCAGGCACTGCTGTGTACTTGCTGGGTATCTGCAAACCCTGGGCCTTGAGGCTGCAGGAGACTCAGATGAGGCTGAGGCTGAGGAATACCCACACACTGTAGGGCCTCCTTGTGGGGGTGCTGCTGCCTGTTGGGTCGTGGCGTGGCAGAGTGCTTGCTTTGGCCGCTTTGGCCTTCATAGGTGGAGCTTCTGGCTGCTCAGGCTCCGGGGGAGTCCGGAGCTCCTCAGATCCCTGGTGAGGCCCCAGCAGTGCTCAGCCTCCCACACCCCCGTCAGGCTGAGTGAGCCACAGCCTTGCTCAAGGGCACAGCTCTTCCACCTTTATTCATAGTGATATCCACCCCCAGCAGGGCTCGATGTACCCTGATCCTGGCGTACACATCAGGAGAGTGGACTGGGGCAGGAGGCAGGGCCACGTGGTCACTTGATGTGGCAGAGGCACTGCCATTTCCTGTCCCGCGGCTCTGTGGTGGCCCAGTAGTGCTTCTCCCCTCACTCGGGTCACTTAGGGTCCTAAGCTGGTGGGCGGTGCTGGGGTCACAGGTGTCAGATCTCGCTGAGGAGGCAGGGTCAGTGGCAGCGGAGGACGGGCACCTCGAAGTGCTGGAGCCAGGGGATGACCCAGACTTCAGAGTAGCACCACAGAGTCTGAAACAGAGGGCGTACTGAGCCTGCATGGCCACCGTGAGCACCTCCACGGGTACCCTAGTGATTGAGGGGGTGCCTCATGGGGGGTGACGGAGTGGAGGGGGTGCCTCACAGGGGGTGTTATAGGGGGTGACTCACAGTTTTTATTTTTAGGAATTTCAAACCTACAGAGTTGGAATAATGACTTGAGAACACCAGCTCGTCACCTGCATTTCTACTTGTTAAATTTCACTACTTTCTCGCTGTCTCTGCAGAACATGTGTGTCCTGGCATGTACAATTTCTGAATGGTCTGAAAGACTTTCTGACTTCTCTGCCCTACCCCAGGGCCTCCTCCAGAGCTGAGCACTCGGAGGGGTGTTGTCTAGAGGAGAATGCCTGTCCTCACCCCCGGGCCTCCTCCAGAGCCCAACTCTCAGCAAATAATCCTAGAGGAGGTCGCCTGTCTTCACCTTGCTCCTGGGACAGGCCCTCCCTCCCGTGATGTGAAGTGCCCAGCAAGAGCACCAGGAGGCCTGCCATCCGGGGGACGGTGGGGGGAGACTTGGTGAAGTGGTGAGGGCTTCTCACAATCCTGAGGGTGCAGGGCTGAGGGGCGGCTCTAAGAAGGCAAGACCCTTGTTACCCGCTCCAAGGTTAGGTTGGTCTGGAAGGCGCAGTCATCCAGGCGAGGGTGCTGGGTTTTCTCGCAGGTGGTTCTGCCGATTTCTACTTCAAGCAGGTATTTTAGGCCCTTCACTATCTGTAGAGGGCAGGGTGTGGGGGTTTGAGTAAGAGGTTGAGACCTGGGGAGGGCGTGGGGCCTGGGGAAGGAAGGCAGGGCTTGGATAAGGGGGCGGAGCCTCAGGACAGGAGCTGAGGTGCCCATGTGCTGTGGGAAGGAGTGAGGAGACCAGGGCTTCGGAAGAGCCACCAGGCTCTCCTCCCCTCTTCCATGAGGGGGTGAGACATGGGCTTTATGTCCTTCCTAGGATGGCTCCTTTCTGTCCAGTGCTCTGTACTCAGGAGGGATGCCACATGCAGTCTTTACCCAAGGCCAGAGGTGAAGGTCTGCTTCCTCCCACCTGGCAACCCTCCCACTCCACTTGCCGTGCCTCCTGTGGCCCAAGGCAGGCAGGGCCATCGACTGGCTTTCTCCCTCTCCAGATGTATGGAGTTTCAAGGGAGCCCTTCTCCCCTTGGACCTGGCAGTGACCTCAGAGGAGCCAAACATTTCCCAATTTATTCCCCAATTTTTAGTCTCAGCCACAGATACCAAGTGAAAGTCATCCCAGAGTTACCAAGATGGAGAGAGACAACCTCCCAGGCCCTTCCAAGCACCGTGGACTCACAGACCCAGAACATCACAGTGGCCTCCCTGGAGGAGGCAGCACCAGATCCTCTGCCCGGAGGAGGCAGCACCAGATCCTCTGCCCTGAGGTGGTCCTGGGAGCCCAGACCCACCCTGGCTTCACAGCAGATGTGTCTACAACAGCTTCTAATATGAAAACATGCTGCTCTTAAAAGGCTACTGTTGCTAAAAAGATAAAAATTACCCAATCTGTGACCAGGGCCACTATAATCCCATGTGAAGACAGTCCTGGAACAGGGCCACTTCACTCCGTCTGCTGCCCCATATTCTGGGCTTAGCAAATGGCAGACACTGCCAGGCACCACCCCTTGATGTCCTGTCCTCACTGGGTCCCATTGTTCATGGGCAGGGAGGAGGGGAAGGACTGGGCTGATGCATTAGGCCACTAGGAAGGGTGTGAGGACTCTGCAGGCTGGAAGCAGAGTGGGGAGTTGGGGGAGGGCAGTGGCTTGGCCAGAAAGAACGCCTGGGTGGGTGCCGGCAAGGCATCCCTGGGGTTGTGGTATAGGTGAGGGTGCCTCCATCTGTTTCTCCCCAGCTTCCAGCCCGATGCCCACCTCCAGTCCCTGCCTCCACACCTCATGTGCCTTGCTGGGCCTGGAGACCATCCAAAAGTGAGGGTGGTCAGACAAGACTCAGGTTCTGTGGTTGGCTGCTGTCCACCATCCCGTGTGTTCTGGGTGTGAGTTGCGGCAGCCCAAGCCACTGTGACCTGAAGCCCAGTACCCACCTGGACCAGGGCTCTCCTGACGCGGGACTCCTTGAACAAGAACATGTCGTTGGTGCAGTTGTTGAACTTCTCCACACTGTACCGTGCGGCTCTGCGGACTCGTGGGTCATTGGTCTTGATTTTTTCTGGGAATCCTGGCTTCACACCTGAGTGAAGGTCCTGGGAGCAGAATCCTGAGAGATGCAAGGAAGCCAGGGTGCTGAGGTGGTGGGGCCTGGGCCAGTGTCATGTGCGTGCCTGCTGGCGCCTGGTCCCGTCCAGCCCTTGCCCAGTCCCCACCTGCGGTGCACTTGCAAGTGTCCTTGTCACTCTGGCAGCTCCACCTTGAAAGCCGAGGGCAGGTGTGGGGTTGGGACAGGGATGACGCCCCCACCCGCACGGCCCCTCTCAGCACCCAGGATGTGTCCAACATATGCCTTAAAAGCTGAACACGTCCCTGGGTGAGAATGTGGGAACTGGACACAGCCTCGAGGCCCCAGCCTGATCCCAGATGGGTGGGTCACTGGTGGTGCTGGAGATCCCTTGAGATCTGCTGGCCTTGGTAGCCTGCTCTCCCTGGTGGTACAATGGGAGGAGGGTTGGGAGTGGACAAAGGCATGGTCTGTGGAAGTTCTGTGACCCGAGAGTGTCCTGCTATCCCCAACCATCTGCCTCCTCCTAAAGGGAGGCCACCTGGGTCCCGGCCAGAGGCGCCACGGCGACTGTGCACAGCCCCTGGGCCTCCATAGGAGCAGCCTCCCACCCCAAGGGGCGCGCACTGTGGAGCCACCCACAGCACTGCTGCAATGCCAGGGTGTGCCAGCTATGTGTGTGCTCATAGCATATCCTGCGTAGGCACCCCGGCACCTTCAGCTCATCCCTGCAGAAGCCCCTGAGTCTGGGCTTAGGTCTGGAGATGGGAGCAGACACTGCTGTGGTGCCTGGACCCACCGCAGCTGAGCCAGGTAGTCTGGAGTCATCCTAGGCTCCCAGGTGGCTCTGGCCTGTGGGTGGCAGGGGTCTCCTGGGGGTCCCACGGGCCAGGAGGTGGATGCCAAGGAGGGGAGGAGGTCGATTGCCCAGGGCAGCTGCTTCTGGTACCTGTGCTGTTTGACAGCAGGAAGCTGACTGTGGTTTTTACTTGCAACAAAACACTGTTCTGGGAACCAGCTTGGTTTTTGTGCATCATCTCAACAGAGGAAGACACGCTTGTGGAAGGGATAGAATTTTCATCAGAAATTAGTGGTTTTTTTTTTTGCAGTGGACTATTTTTTTTCTTTGTAAAAATTACATTTATGGCTTTTTCTGATTATAAACTGACCTATTTTTGGGAGGAAATTTGAAAAATATAGAAGAATATAATATAAAGGTAAAAATCAATATCACAAAGGCAACCACTGGTAACTTTTAAAAATAAAATACATTAAATCTAATTTTACTTGGACTTAAGAGAATTTTTAAAATGAAGTGAAACTCAGGTTATGCTGAACTTCAGAAAAATTTCCCTTCCAAACATATCATGTTAATTTCTAAAGTATTCTAGTAAAGTTACAAAAAATTTATGAAAAACATTAAAGTTGGTTTATTTTTATCTCATTACATATTTCTTAAAATATAGGCTTCAAGTCAGTTAACCTTTAACTATCTTGCAGTTGTCTAAACAAATATTAAAAGTTACACTCTTGCCGGGCTCGGTGGCTCAGCCTGTAATCCCGCACCTTGGGAGGCTGAGGTGAGTGGGCCTGGGTGCATGGGGGGCTGGAAGGACCTGGGGAGGACGGGACTGAGCCCGCGGGTTCGAGACCTGCCTGGGCAACTTGGCGAGACCTCATCTCTACAGTAAATCAAAAAAGTAGCTGGGTGTGGTAGCATGTGCCTGTAGTTCCAGCTACTTGGAAGGCTGAGGCAGAAGGATTGCCGGAGCCCAGCAGGTCGAGGTTGCGGTGGCTGGGAGTGGCCACTGCACTCCAGTCTGGGCAACAGAGTGAGACTCCAAAAGTTACACTCTTAACTTTAAAAAGGTTTAAAAGTCATGATATTTACAGTCACTGTCAGAAAATTCTCATCCTTATTGCTTTCAAGTATTGGTCTCATACCATATTGTTTTCCTTCTACTTATGGGGCATTGATTACAAATATATGAAATGTTTACACTATGCCCCACATGCTTCTTATTACTTTTGATATATCTTTAAAGTCCTTTTATCACTAAGTATGTCTAAATATTTTCTTCTGTCTTCCACTTGCCTAATTTTCTGTTCAGCCACGTCTAATTTAAACCTTCCATTAAGTGGTTCATTTCCTTTGCTTTATAATTCTAGATTTCCCATCTATCTTTTTTATCACCAATTTTTTTTAATGCGTTTTTCATCTTGTCCTTTATTTCCTTAGGCGTATCAAATATATTTATTTGAAAAATTATAGTTTATTATCTGAATCCCCTATGACTGTGCCCCTGTCATCCATTGCTTCTTCTGGGTTTGGGGTCATGTTGGTATCTCCTCACATGCCTGGTTATTTTTAGTAAATGCTGATGTTGATGATGTTGATTTTGAAAAAAAATTTTTTTAAAATCAAACCTCTTTTTAGGGTGATTTGTGAAGAAAATTAACCAGGAAAACCTGATCATTAAGAATAAACATCCCAGCCGGGCTCGGTGGCTCAGCCTGTAATCCCGCGCCTTTGGGAGGCTGAGGTGAGTGGACTGCCTGAGCCCGTGGGTTCGAGACCCGCCGGCAGCGAGACTTCATCTCTACAATAAAAATCAAAAAGTCAGCCGAGCGTGGTAGCACATGCCTGTAATTCCGGCTACTTGGAAGGTTGAGGCAGAATGATCGCCGGAGCCCAGCAGGTCGAGGCTGCAGTGGCCGGGAGTGGCCACTGCACTCCAGTCTGGGCAACGGAGTGAGACTCCTACTCAAAAAAAAAAAGAATAAACATCCCAAAGAGGCGAGTCATCTGTAGGGCAGGAGACAAGTGACCAAGCAGGTGACGAGGGAATGTTCTAGGTCTTTGAGACCCTAAGTTGGGGAGTCAGACCCCCAGAGAGCTGTGGAGAGGACCCCTGGGGAAGGCGGTCTGGGTTTGTGGTAGACAGCTGAAGCCAAGGGTGGGCCGGGAGAGTGGGCGCTGTGTCTTCTGCTTCTCACACCAGGCAGATGACGCATCCCCATTCTGCAGGGGAGGAGACTGAGGGCTAGGGGAACTCTGGGGTGGGGGCGAAACCCAGGTCTGACTCACTCTTAAGATGGGCTGTTAAAATGAAGGAGGGACTTTGGTGGGTGCTGTGGGAGACACAGAGGGCTCCGAGATACCTGCCTTAGAAGGAGCCTACAGAAGGAGGCAGAGGGGCCTGGGTGCATGGGGGGCTGGAAGGACCTGGGGAGGATGGGGCTGAGCGCTGGGGAGGGCTTGACAAGACCTGGGCTAGGGGGTGTGTGGGACATAAGGGGATGGGTGATTGGGGTCTGAGTGGTGGCTTGAGGGTCATGGACAGGAAGAGCAGATCATCCGCAGGCTTGTGAGGAAGCCAAGGTCAGCATGTGCAGGTCTGCATGGAAATAGTGCTGGGCCATGTTGGATGCCAGGAGGAGGTGGAGGCAGCTCGCAGAGCGGTGCTCGCCCCAGCCCTCTACCCCAGACATGCTCGGTGGGGGAGTCCTGGCTTCAGGCCGGCCCACAAGGGAGGACTCACCACTCGGGCCAAAGTCAGGGGCCTGCGGGTGCCCTGACAGGGACCCCAGCCCACCCTGCTTCTAGTATAGGTAGAAGTATGGGCCACGCCCCGGGAGGCAGGGGCGGGTGGACGGGGCCAGTGACACCAGTCGCAGTGCTGGCCACTGGGCAGGTAGGTCTTACCGGACAGAGCGCTGACCCTGGGACACCCGGCAAGGTGCCTGGTACAGGTGTGGATGTGAAGGCTGAGAGAGGACAGGGGCCACCCCAGGCCGCCAGCATGCTGCAGCTTTACAGCTGGGGGCATCCCCTGGGCAGGCATGGTTGTATTCTCAGGCCACAGGCCCAGCAGCACTGACTCAAGCCCTCTTGAGGACGGTACATGTGGTTGGGGACTGCAGCCCTTGGCCAGCCCCAGGGACTTGCTCCAGGGAGCCAGTATGAGCTGGGGGTCCCTGTGGCTCCACAGCTGTCCAGGCCCTGCCTTCCCTTCAGCATAAGGGTCCCCTGATCTGTGGAGTCCAGGACTCTCTCCCATCCCTGTGGGGAGGGTCAGCTGTGAAGCAGAACTTGCAGGAAATGTTCTGGGGTTTCTGGCTTAAAAGTGTAATTTTCCTAGTAATTCACTGGGCGATTGCTATTCTGACATTCCTGGGCCCATTTCTCTTCCTCTTCCACCCCACAGCCCCTGCAGGGTCCTAACGCTGGCCTTGGATTCCTCTGTCACTCCCTCTCACAGCCTCCTTCCCCAGGTGTGGCCCATGTGATCTTGAGCACTCTACCTGAAGGGCACGCTTGTGTACCTGCACGCTGTGTGAAAACGCCCAGGCTCAAGAGAAACCTGAGAGACAGGTAGCATAAGCACAGGGACGTGGTGGGCCACGGAGTCAGCCACAGCGATTGCACCATTTTTGTGCAGGTTAGAGAGACAGGTGGGCCCGTGCCAGCTGGACTGGGTGGGGTGGGGCGGAGCATGGCATGGCAGCCCAGTGGGCTCCCTGGAAGAGATGCCATCAGTTGAGAGGGCGCTCGCTCTGTCATGCTGCCTTGGAGACGCACAGGAAGGTGGCAGGGTCAGGAGGGGCCTGGAGGGAAGGCCCCAGGAGGCTGAGGAGAGGCAGGAAGGCTGGAGAAAGGGTGGGGTCCCGTCCAGCCCACCGCTGGCTCTGGGCCCCTGGCTGACCATGTGCTCACCACGTGTTTGCTGAGCTCCCGCAACCTGTGGTAGCTGGTCCCCATCACTGACAGCAGGAGCTGCCCACCCCCCACATCCAGGGCCCCCACGTTCCAGCACCCCCCCCGGGCTGGGTGTGGGAGCCCAAGGCAGTGTCCCTAGTGTCACTGACTCCTCCTGACTCTTGAGGGGGTGTGACCCCTCCATGAATGGGGGGAGATTTGGGACCATCCTCTTGTCACTAGTCCTGTCTGCACACCCCACCTGATCACCAGAAGAGAGAAAAGACAGAAATCTGCCTCTCTGGGTGCCATCCCATGTGCTGCCATGGGCTGTGTCTCTCAGGCAGGTCCGTCAGCCTGTGGCACCCACTCTGTTGTGCTTGAGTGGCCTGGGGGTGCCTCCATTTCCCCGGTGTCATGGGCTCACCATGTGCTGGGGAAGCATCACCATTCCCTGTGGGTAGGAGCAGGTGCTCACCACTGGTGACCTGGGGAATCACCGGCTTGGATGGATGTACCTGCTTTCCAGCTTAAACACCTTGTTCTTCTCTCCTCTCCGCCCCTTCCTGGCGCTGGCCATGAGGGTGCAGATTGCAGGAAGGTTGACAGTGACCGTTAGGAGCCAAGTCATAGGACAGCAGCGGCCGGAAGGAAGGATGAGCCTCAGAGAAGCCGCGAACCCTGGGCCTGTACTGCTGCCGTCCCCACTCTGTAGCCCTGAAGGGCCCTGGGGCCTTCCCCAACTCAGACCTGTCTCAGGAGTGGTGGGGGATGGGGGATGCCTCCCTCACCCCAGCTGCAGGACACTCCGCACCCTCCATGCCTAAAGCCTGCCCTCCAAAGTAGCTGCAGTCAGGACAGGAGCCCTGTGCCCCTCGCTGTGCCTCTACCATGTCCCCAGCCACAGGCCCCCCCAGAAGCTGTGAGCGGCCCCTGGGGCTCCAAGCCAGGAGAGTGCCCTGGGCAAGACCCAAGGTGAGCCCCCTATGCCATGCCCTCCACTGCTGAGGGAGAGCTCCCAGGGGCAGTCAGAACTCTGGAACCCTGGCATGGGGCGGCCAGGGGATACCCTCCACTTACCTTGGGAAGGGCCTGTAGTGATGCTCAAGACCAGGCAGAAGGTGAGCAGGGCCCCGGCCGGCCGCATGGCTGCTTGGGCAGAGGGCAGTGCCAGGCAGTGGTCAGTGCCTGCTTGGGCTTCCTGAGCAGTACAGGGCAGTGCCAGGCAGTGGTCAGTGCCCCTGTGAGCCTTCCCAGGCAGTGCAGGGCAGTGGACTGTGCCAGGTCCGGGCAGGTGCTGGAGCCCCAGGGTGGAGCCCCGCCCTGCAGACCGCCCCCAGGGCTGGGAGGGATGAGGGGCTGCCTGCTTTGGTGCTGGGGAAGGGGTGTGGTTTCTTGCTGAATCATTGTGACCAGAAGCACTTCACCTCCAGATCTGCCTGCCACAGTCACCACTTCCTTTGTAGAAGTTTCTGCGTTATGAGCACTTGCTGGGGGGGAGAGGGTGAGGTGAGGAGAGACATGGGATCTGTGAACAAATTCCCCACACAAGAGAGGTGTTGCCTTAAACACATTAGCAGGGATGTTCAGAAGTGGAATTTCCTGATTTTTCCTTCTTCAAACTCTACACTCCTCCCACCCCAAATGCCAGTGTCTGCGTGGCCCCAGGCAGGATGCTCTGTCTCCACAGTGTGAGGGAACACCTGCCCCCACAAGACTGCAGGAAGCCAGGGCCCAGGCTGCGGGCTCAGAATTTCAGTGTGGGCTCCACAGCTGAGCTCTATGCCTGGAGTCAGGTGGGTGGGGTTGCTGTGAGTGGCTGACCACTTCCCACCTTTGCTCAAAGCCTGCACGAGGGGACAGGACAGTCTGTGGCTCCCTATGAAAGAACCCGGAGGTTCTGGCACCCTGGCAGTGCACCGTCCACATGCCCAGCCTGTGGTCTGAGCAACCGCTGTGTCTTGTCCAGCAGAGGGGATTGCTTGAAAATAATCCCCTCAGCGACATGGGAACATTCTAGAGCTGGTGTCCCAGGACACAGCTGGAGGTTGCCCCCTGTCTGGAGATGCTTTCAAGGTCTGACTTGTCTGTCATCTCCAGAGGCGAGGACGAGTATGGGATCAAGAGGCCATCTTGGGTGTATGGTGAGCTGGGGTCTCTGAGCTGTGACCTGAAGCAAGTATGTTCAGTTCCAGGAGGGGACCCTCTCTCCTCATCCCCTGGTGCTGACCCTCAGCATGTGGCCTCCCACATCCAGTGAGGGGCCATGGGGACAGTGGATAGCAGGGACAGCAGGCATGGCAGGTGGTGAGAAGATCTGCTGGGAGGGGAGCCCACTGTGTGCTACGCTTGTCTGCCCAGGCCTCAATCCCCTGAGGGTGCCAGGGCCGGGTCCCCAGGAGGTGGGGAGGGGCTGCCCCAGGGGGGCTCTGCAGGCTGGAGGAGTCTGGGCACTGCCCATAGGGTGCGCATCTGCCCCGACCAGCTAGGGTGTAGGGTGTTGAGACCACCTGGCACTCACAACCACTGTGCAGGGATGTCCAGCCTTAGAGGCCCCACTGTGCAGGGAGAAGGGCAGGGCTCCAGGCTGGCCTGTTGACAGGGCTGAGGGCACCTGGGGACCCAGGCCGATGTGGCTTCATTAATGATAGTGACAGAAATGATGACAAAGGACAGTTCACAGGACATGCTGTGAGCCAGGTGCTCCTTAAGCACGTGTGACTCTTTCTTATAAAGATTTTTATTTTGATGGGCAAATCGTGTGTGTTTATGTTGACAGCATGATGCCTTGAAGTCATGTGCGTGTGAAGTGGTCATGTCTGCTAATGACATCTGCCCCACCTTGTGTACTTGCCTGTGGCGAGTACACATGAAGCCACTTCCGGCAGTTCTCAAGCATGTAGCACATTATCATGACCTATCGTCACCATGGTGTCCTACAGAAGAGGAAACCGAGGCAGGTGGAGGGCAGGAGTTGCTGGAAGATGTGCAGAGCCTGGGTTCAGGCCCTGGCTGTGTGCTCTGGCTTCTGGGCCCTGGCGGCTGTCCTCCTGGGAGGTCTGGGATTGGGTGTGAGCGACCCGTGAGCCCGCAGATGCCAGCTTGCAGCTGCTCATGGGTCAGGTCCTGGAGGGTGGCCCAGGGTGCTGGAGCCCCAGCAGAGCAGGTGGTGCAGAGCCAGGACCATCACGGGCCATGTGAAGCAGGACTGGGATGGTCTTGGAGGTCTCACGGGACTGAGAGAGACTTTCTCCTGTGCAGGAACAGCGTGGGGGAGAAACACGAGCATCGGGTGGTTTCCAGCCAGCAGCAACCTTTAGTTTCTGTGAAGAAGGCCAGCAAACGTTTCTGCAGGCTGCGTGGACCGTGAGGAGAGCCACATCCACCAGGGGGCATTACCATCCAAGCCATGAGCACCTGAGCCCTGTCCGTGCTCTGCTCAAGTGCCCTGCACTGGCTCTAGGCCTCCTTGGTGCCCTTGGCCTCCCCCTCTGTAGCAGTGAGGACGCCAGCCCTTGGCACAGGGAGGCAGTTCTGTGCATGAAAAAGTGTCTTGGTTGCTGGTCCTCCTGCAGGGCCAGTTCCCAGCAGTGGGGACAACCCGCCGCCAGCAGATCTCAGGGCTCAGGCTCCTCAGTTGCCCTCACTTGGCCTCTCACAGAGAGTCCCAGTGTCTTGGGAACTGTGGGGTCCCCTTGGGCTCCCTGTGGAGTTCCACTCAGCTGCACAAGCCACTGCTATGCTCAGTGCTAAGCCAGCCCCGACCCTGTCATTGTTACACACTCTGCGGCAGGAACGGGGACCCAAGTGTTGGGCATGCCTGTCTCCATGAGGCCTGGGATGCCAGCTGGGCAGACCCCAAGCTGGGACCTGGGATTGTGGAGGCTGGCTCCCCAGCCATCTGCAATGGTGCCATCTGCTGGTGGGACCCAGGCCAGGCTATCAGCCCGGACCCTGCCACATCACCCATGCACGGGGTTGCCAGCGTCAAAGAAGGAGGGTCCCCTGGGCAGGTAGTGGGAACTCATCCTCATTCATGGCTTGGCCTCGAAAGTCACATGGGGCCACCTCTTCCATGGGCCCAAGAGATGGAAACAGCAGACCCCTTTTGGTGGACAGGGTCACTGTCACGTGGAAAGAGGAGCGGGTGGAGTGGATGTGGGTGTTTTGGAAAGTGATCTGCCTCATGTGGATCCAGGGAGTATTAAAATCCCAACCTCCCTGGAAGGGGCCAGCAGCCCTGACTGTGCCATTCAGTGTGGCTCTGGAATTGCACTGGACACTGCCCAGGAGCTGCAGATGCCAGTGAAAGCAGGAAGGCTGGGGTGGCTACTCATCCTCTATCTGTGCCAGCCTTGGGCTGACAAATGGCACCGAGAGCTGAGGCCTGTGGGGAGACCCATGGGGCCCATCGTCAAGAGGGTAATAAATGGTCAGAGCAGACGGGGTGGAGGCAGGGAGACCCATGAGGTAGAGATGGGGAGACCCGTGGGCGGGTGGGTAATAAATGGTCAACAGGGAATAGACAGTCAGAAGCAGACAGGATGGAGGTAGGGAGACCCACGGGGCGCAAAGACGAATGCAGAAGGAGGCAGAAACGCATCTTCCTAAGTCGAAACCCACTCACTCTGTGGAAATGGGAGGGAGGCCATGGAGGAGAGGGCGTGAGCCCAGACAGGCGTGACAGTGGGCAGGTGGCTGGTGAGGTCCACAGAGACTGGCTTGGGCAAGGTCTTGTCGGGGTGCTGGGGAGTCTGCAAAATGCTCATTCCCAGGCTCTGCATCCAGATCTGCAGAGTGGAGGTTGTTGAGAAACAGACTGACCTTTCCCAGGTGTGCCGGCTGTCCCGATAAGAGCTGGGAGCCCCCAGGAAGGCCTCTGTCCTGGGTTGGCTGCTCATGGACTGGCACCCAAGGGCCACTGATCAGGTGTCACTGCAGCACCATCCCAGCCCATTTCTTGCCCGCAGGAGGCGCCGGCGGGGCTTCTGCCCTCAGCCTGGGCCCAGCAGCCTCCTCCCTTGGTGGTGGGCCAGAGACCCCAGGGGGGCTGCGCCCAGTTGCCCCTAGCCACAGAACTCTTGCACTCTCCCCTCAGAGCCCACGACCCTGCCCTCTCCCTATGTATCCTGGATGGAGATAAAGGCCACGGGATGGACAGGCCACTCAGAGCTACAGCAGGGACCTGCCCGTCGGGTGCATTGGGCATACACATGTGCAGGCCGTGAGTGGGAGAGCACCATGGGGGGAGGGGGCTCCACCGTGCCTGATGGAGGGGCTTCCTGGGAGCCAAGGGGCTGCTAGAGGGGAGTGGCCCAGGACGGTCTGGGAAGCCTATCTGCTTTCTTCTCCAAGTAGAGGGAGGCTGGCAGTCACTGGTGAAGCTGGACTGTGGCTGTGGGGGCGGCAGTCTGGCCTCTGGGCAGCTGCTGCCAGCTGTGGCCAGAGGCCTCTGCCCCAGGTGCTGGCTGTTGATGGTCAGTAAATTCTGTCTCATGGGAATCACTCCAGGAGGTACCATGTGGGTACCAATCTGTGTCTTGAGGCCTGCCCTGGGGACCCCGGTCCTGAGGGTGAAAAGTGGCCTGTCCCTGGGCCGAGCTGCGGGCGCACCAGGGGCCTCGCCAGCCCCATCCCACGTTCAGACTATCCCACCTGAGCCCCCCTTCCTCTTCCCCGGCAGCATATGGGGCTGCTCCCATCCCCTTTCTGATATACCCTGCAGCCCAGAGGTGCCCCCTCCAACCTCTGGAACCTGAGACTCTGTCCCTTCCCAGGGCAGAAGGGGCTTTGCTGGTGGGGCTGAGTCAAAGTTCACTAGAAAGTAAGTGTGTCTCAAAAATGCCCCCACCCTCTGCAGGTTGGAACCGGAATCTGCCCTCCACTCTTACAGATGAAGTCTCTTACTTTATTTTATTTCTTTGAGTTGGAGTCTTGGAGAGCGTGAACCTGCGAGCATTGTAGACGCCTCCATACCTGTGTAGATGGCCAGGCTGGGAACTGTGTGAACTTCACTCTTGTCTTCATGCTTTGGACTTTGGCCTGAACCCCAAGGTCTGTCCCGAGTGAATGCCTGTGGACCCTTTGACAAGCTCCTGGGTCGGGTGTGTCATCACAGCCCTCCCGGCGTCCATTTCCTCAGGTGCT